AAAGAAAGGGCAAAAACAGAAGAAGGAGGCCAATCCAATAAGAAGCAAAAGGAGGAAAAGGAGATGTCCGGTCGAGTCCCTTGAACCTGTGAAACCTGCGAGGCAATTGGGTGTGTGCTCACGACGTGGCCATGGTTATGTCTTCCAACTTGATGTAGAAATACCCTGAGGTGCATCAAAGGAGAGGAACTTACTTCTGGTCACCCAGTGCCTTGCCTTCCTCTGCAAAATAGTAAGGTTTGATCTTTGAGATGTGGAATGTTGGGTGCCGACGGTCGCCTTCCGGGAGTTCAAGTTCGTCATCCTGTTCGTGGTTTGTTACCCGGTTCACACGGTAAGGGCCCTCAAAACGTTCCTTCAATTTGTCAGTTCCTCCCTGTCTTCGGCCTCTCCAGTCTGCCGAGTTGAGAAGGGCCCACGAATCTGGTTCAAGTGGTGTGCGTTCTTTGTTGTGTTTGTTGTGTTGCACAGCTTGCTTCACTCGACTAGTCCACAATGCGTCCCTCGCGTCTTCCCACGCACCTTCTCGCCACTTGGTCCAATTTGATAGTGATACAGGAATTTCCTCAGTGGCTACTGCTGATGGAAACAGCTGGGGCTTTTGTCCAAACACCAGTTCAAAGGGACTGTATCCTGTAGCAATGTTGACGGCTGAATTGATGGCAAATTCTACTGCAGGGAGTGCTTCCAGCCACTTGCCCTGGCGTCGCAAAGTGAATGAGCGGAGAATCTGACCAACAGTCCTGTTAGTCCTTTCGCTCCTACCGTCCGCTTGTGGGTGGAATGATGTCGTCATGTGAAACTTGATGTGTAATTTATCCATCAACGCTTTCCAGAATTGTGATGTCCATGTCTTGTCCCTGTCGCTCAAGATTGACTTGGGTGCGCCAAACAACGCTAGCCATCCACCAAAAAGTCGGGTTGCTGTGCGTTCCGCGGTGTCAGTTTGAAGAGCTGGAATGATCCTTGTAAACCCCGATAGTCGACATGTGCATGTCAGAATCATGTCGTAATGATTTGATGGCTTCAGTGGACCCACAAAGTCAATAGCCAGATCTGCTAGTGGTGTCCGTGGAAAGGAGGGAGTCAACATTTTTCCCGTTGGAGCTGTTGTAGGTGCTTTGGTCTTCTGGCAGGTATCACACGATTGAATGAAGTTGGCCGTCTCTTTCGCCATTTGTGGCCAGAAAAAATCACGACGTAATTCAATCACTGTCTTCAAATACCCCAAGTGGCCTAGTCGGGTGTGTGCTTCCATGATCAATTTGCGTCGCAGACTTGCATCCTTAGGAATTACCAGTCGACCATCGATGAATAGAAGACCGTTCACCTCTGCGCAGTCGTCTTGTAAGGGTAGGACCTTCTTTACTGACTTACAAAAATTGTCCTCCACATAACCTGCTATAATCTTCGTCTTCAAGGCGTCGGACAGGACGCTCCCTAATTCTGTGAGTGAGGCTACACACACTACATCTGCTTGAGTAATACCCGCATCTCCATCGTCAATATGTTTCCGAGAGAGCGCGTCAGCCACCGAATTATCCTCGCCTTTAATATATTCAAAATGTAGATCAAAATCCGCCAAGATCTCTAGCCAACGAGCTTGCCTCCGGCTAAGGTTCCGCTGCTTCAGTAAATATGTCAGTGAGTGGTGGTCCATCATGACGTTGACCTTCATCCCCAGGAGTAGCATTTTCCATTTCTGCAGTGCGTGAATTACCGCCAGAAGTTCTTGTTTGTGTACCGGATAGTTGCGTTTGGCCGGTGTCATTAAATGAGATTCGTAAGCTATGGGGGATGCTCCCTTCCAATCTTTCCCTTGAAAAAGAGCCGCCCCTAGTCCAGATCCACTAGCGTCTGTGAATAACCACAGTGGGTTGTCAGACTCATAATCGACATTTTTAAGACACAGTAACGACGTCATGATCCTCTTGATGTTCTCGAATGCTTTGTCTTCTTCCGCTCCCCACCGAAAGTCCTTGGATGCGATTTTACTGCTTGTCAGAGGTGTCAACGTGCCAACGTATTTCTCAAGTCCCCACACGAATTTCTTCATCCACTGTACCGTTCCCAAAAATTTCTTCACTCCTTTTGCTGATGTTGGTGCTTTCCAATCCAGAACCTGGGCCACCTTTTTGTTGTCTGCCCGTATGCCATTAGCTGAAATCCAATGGCCAAGAAATTTAACCTCCCGCTGAAACAGTTTGGTCTTCTTTGGGCTACAATATAAGTTGGCCTGTCGAAGTCGGTTCAATACAAGGTGTACGTGTCGCTCGTGTTCTGAGAAGGACCTGGAAAAAATGACAATGTCATCAAGGTAGACTACACATATGTCATTGATAAGTTTGCCGAGCGCTTCTTCTAGACGTGCTTGGTGAGTAGCCGGTGCATTAGTCAGTCCCATGGGCATGACAACCCATTCCATTAGTCCCCAGGGAGTCTTAACAGCAGTAAGTGGTATGTCCTCCTCCCGCATGCGTGTCTGGAAGAAGGCATTTGTCTGGTCAAGGATTGAGAACACTTTCCCTGTAGCTACCATGCGTACTAACTCGTCAACGTTTGGTAGTGGTGAGCGGTCCTTCACCGTGAAACTATTGAGGGTGCGGTAATCACAGACCCAACGAGGAAGTGCAGAGGGGTCTTTCTTGGGTATGATCATACTGGGGGATGCATACTGGCTCGATGATCGTCGAATCCTGCCTGCCTCAATGTGTTGGTCTAGCAGCTTCCGCCAGGCCCCCATGTATTTTTGTGGGTATGCGTATTGTCTTTCCTTAATTTAGGCGTTTGGGTCGGTCAGAACAATTTTATGGCAAACTTTTGATCTTTCCTCTTGCATTTTCTCAGGAAAAGACCCGTCCTTGAATAGTCCACTAGATTCTGCCTCGTCTGAGACCGCTGGTATGTCAAGTGGGAAAAGGTCCGAAAATTCCCTTAAGATAGTTTCCTCCGATTGGGTACACGGATAGTCCGTGACGTCCTGGTTTGGTAATTGATTGCTTTGGTCTGTTGTCATTGCATCAATAGCTCAATAATCTACTACACAACGACCAGACTTATCACATACAACACTGTGTTGAGATATAGAGACAGAAAGATGAAATCGGGACAAGAAAGGAATCCCCAGAATCATATCATAGTTCCCTGCAATGGGACCTATACTAAGTTCTACGTCATTGAATTGTAGATTGGATTGTGTGTCCAGAAACGTGGTCCGTGTGAATTTTTGAAGGATCAGTGGGGTACGAGATGAGTCATTGAGTGCCAAGGTGACGCGGGTAGGTACCGGTAGGTCCAGAGTTGGTAGTCCTGCATTCGTCACCGCTTGTTCATTGATCAGATTGATCTCGGCTCCTGTATCAATCAGACCATGTAAGTAATGATTGCCGACCTTTAGACGGATGACGAGTCTTCTGGGTGTAACGGGAGTCACATACTCATCCTTTGCCGCTAATCTGAGTTCCTCGTCAATGGCGGCGAATGCTGACACGGATGCCGCGTCCAATTCAGGGAAGGTTGATTGATCCCCAACTTCAGCTACGGATGCAGATCTATTTGGAGGTCGCCCCGCCGGTAAATTAGTCGGTCTACCCGCCAACGATGCCGTTGGACCCCTCGCTTTTGGGGGTTTGTAGTCGTTTGGCTTGGGTGGTATAACAAACGAAGCGGGGATCTCCACCGGTGACTTATCGATCGGCCCGGCACACTTACCTGGAGCGCTGCCACATTGCTTCTTGCAAAAGTGACACTTGCCCTGAGAATCCAAAAACGCATGTATGCGCCAGACATACTCTTCTTTAGGTAGTCGAGTCGACTGTGAGCTGGTACTTGATGGATTGGAGGCGATGTTTTGTCGTGGCCTCGCCAAGAACCCCGAGCGCTTGAGAATTCCGTCCCAGAACCCGCTCGCTCTGTTCTCAAATGTGCCGAAGTCGAACGGATCCTGTAGAAGGATCTGGTGATTGTGGATCTCTGATTGTAGTGCGTCGTTCGTTCCGAGCACCATGGATTTGGCCAAATCAAAGTCGGATATCGCTTCCGTCTTAAGTTCGAAATTCAACATACTCTGAAGGGTACGTGAGCGAGTACTGTACGCTAAAAACGATTCGGTGTTGCTCATCCTAAGATTCTTGAACTTTCCTCGGAGAGTCGTACGCCAGTTGGGTGGGAGTGCGAACGCAATAAGCTTCGCCTTGAAATCAGACCACGGTTTCCCTAAGAAGCCTTCGAATCCGCTGGCGTAGAACGCGGTGGTGTTGGTTTCTCTGATCAGTCCACCGATCACTTGTATCTTGTCGTCATCATGGGTGACGCCCTTCGTAGCGAAGAATATTTGTACGCCTCGGATCCAGGTTATGAAGCGTTCGACATCTTGGAACGGTCCCGAGAAGAGTGGGCCGTCCGATGATCGGAACCGTTGTAGGTCGATGCGGCCTGCTTCCACTCGAGTCAGTTGAGTCTCAGAGTCTGATTTGACGGCCATTCGCAGTACCGCCTCCTCTAGTTTTGCGATTCGATCCGTATCAGCTTGACGGAGTTCTCGCTCCGATTTCAGGCTCTGC